AAATTCCTAGGAGTCCAAGAGATTCCTAGGAATTCCTAGGAACCCTTAAGATTCCTATGAATTCTTAGAAACCTTGGGAATCCTAAAGATTGCTAGGAATTCATGTGTATCCTAAGAATTCCTGGAGATCCCTGGGAATTCCAGGAGTTCCTGGGAATCCTAGAGATTGTTTGGAATCATACAGATCCCTAGGAATCCGAAAGATTCCTAGGAATCCTATAGATTCCTATGAACCCTGGGGATTCCTAGAATTCCTAGGAATCCTACAGATTCCTAAGAATTTATAGAAGTCATAGGGATCCGTTATAGGAGTCCTCGAGATTCCCAAGAATTCTGAAAATTCCTAGGGTTCCTGGAATTCCTAGGAATCCTAGAGAGGTTCTCAGGAATTCGTTGAATTCTAAGGAATCCGAGAGCTTCCAAGGAATTCATAAACTCCTAGGAATCCAAAATATGCAAAAGGAATTCCTAGGATTCCTATGAGTCCTCGAAATTCCTAGGAATTCCTAGAATTCCTATGGATTCCTGAGATGTCCTAGGATTCCTAAAGATGAATCGAGATTCCTAGGAATTCATAGAATGCCTACGAATCCTAAAGATCCATAGGAATCCTAAAAATTCCTATGCAAATCACATACGGCCTGTATGGGATCCTACGCAGGTCCCGCACGGCCTTTGTATGGGATCCCATACAGAGCCCAGACGGCCTGTATGGGATCCCGCACAGATCCCATACAGCATGTATGGGAACCGATACAAATCCCATACGGCCTGTATGGGACCCCACACAGATCCCATACGGCCTGTATGGGATCCACACGGATCCGTATAAAATTCCGATGGAGGCCTATATAGAATTCGTATGGAGGGCTATAGAATGCCGATGGAGGCCTATAGAATTCCTTTGGGGAGCGATAGATTTCCTATGGAGGCCTATATAGAATGGCTATGGAGGCCTATAGAATTCCTATGGGGGGCCTATAGAGTTCCGATGGAGGCCTATAGAATTCCGATGGAGGCCTATATAGAATTCCTATGGAGGCCTATAGAATTCCGATGGGGGCCTATATAGAAATCCCATGGAGGCCTATAAAAGTCCGATGGGTGCCTATAGAATTCCTATGGAAGCCAATAGAATTTGTATGGGGGCCTATGGGATTCCTATGGAGGCCTATAGAACTCCTATGGATGCCTATGGAATTCGTATGGAAGCCTACAGAATTCCTATGGGGACCTATATAGAATCCCTATGGAGGCCTATAGAATTCCTATGGAGGCCGATATAACTCCTATGGTGTGACATCTAGAATTCCTATGGTGACCTATAGAATGCCTATGGGGGCCCTATTGAATTCCTATGGACCAACACAGCCGTGGCAGGGTCCGTATCGGGGTCCACACAACTGTATGAGGATATCTATAAGGATCCATACAGCTGTGGTCCGATCACTACAGGGCCCGATGCAGCTGTGGTTTGATCCCTATAGGGGTCCACACAGCTGTGGTAGGATCCCTGTAAGGATCCATACAGATGTGGCACGATCCCCATCGGGAGCCATACAGATACAGCCTGCTCCCTGTAGGGATCCATACAAACGTGGTAAGATCTAGGGACCGATACAGCTGTGGTAGGACGCCTGTAGGGATGCTCAACATCTGTGGTAGGATCCCTTTAGGGATCCATACGAATATAATTGAATCCCTATAAGGACCGTTGCAGCTGCGGAAGGATCCCTATAAGGACCCATACAGCTGTAGAGCGACCCCTATTACGATCCATACAACTGTGGTTGGATCCCTATAGGGATCCCTACACCTGTCGTAGGATCCCTAGACGGATCCACGCGGCTCTGGTAAAATCCCTAAAGGGAGTCACACAGCTTTGGTAGTACCCCTATAAGGTTGAGTGTCTGGGGGGGCGGGGGCGCGGGGACGTAGGGGCGTGGGGGGGAGCGCCGGGGCCCCAGTGGAGGACTCCATCAAACCTCAGTGAATTGCGAGGAAGTCTCGAGCGGGAGCCGTCGGCGTTGTTGTTGTTGTTGTTGTGTTGTTGGGGGGGGGGGGGGGGCGCGCCGGGGGCCGGCGCCCGCTCCCTGTGGAATCCCTAGGAATCTCTTGCATCCATCGGAATCTCTGCAACCCCTCGGAATCTCTGGAAGCCCTAGGAATCTCTGGAATCCCTAGGAATCTTTGGAATCCATCGGAATCTCTGGAATCCCTTGGAATATCTGGAATCCCTAGGAATCTTTGGACTCCCTAGGAATCTCTGGAATCCATCGGAATCTTTGGAATCCCTAGGAATCTCTGGAATCCAAAGGAATCTCTGGCATCCCAAGGAATCTCTGGAATCTCTAAGAATCTCTGGAATCCCAAGGAATCTCTGGAATCCTTAGGAATCTCTTGAATCCAAATGAATATGTGGAATCCCTTGGAATCTGTGAAATCCCTAGGAATCTCTGGAATCCCTAGAATCTCTGGAATGCCTAGGAATCTCTTGAATCCCCAGGAACCCTTAGAATCCCTAGGAATCTCTGGAATCCAGAGGGATCTCTGGAATCCCTAGGAATCTCTGGAATCCCTAGGAATCTCTGGAATCCCAAGGAATCTCTGGAATCCCTGGGAATCTATGGAATCCCTAGGAATCTCTGGAATCTCTACGAATCTCTGGAATCCCCAGGAATGTCTGGAATCCCTAGGAATCTCTGGAATCCAAAAAAATCTCTGGAATCCCTTGGAATCTGTGGAATCCCTGAGGAATCTCTAGAATCCCTAGGAATCTTTGGAAACCCTAGGAATCTCTGGAATCCCTGGGAATCTTTGGAATCCCTAGGAACCCCTGGAATCCCTAGGAATCTCTTGAATCCCTAGGAATCTCTGGAACCCCAAGGAATCTCTGGAATCCCTAGGAATCCCTGGAATCACTGTGAATCTCTGGAATCCCTAGGAATCTTTAGAATCCCTCGGAATCTCTGGAATCCCTAGGAATCCCTGGAATCACTAGGAATCTCTGGGATCCCTAGGAATCTTTGGAACCTGTAGGAATCTCTGGAATCCCTAGGAATCTCTGGAATCGCTAAGAATCTTTGGAATCGTTAAGAATCTCTGGAATCCCTAGGAATCCCTGGAATCCCTAGGAATCTCTGGAATCCCTAGGAATCTCTGGAATCCCTAGGAATCCTTGGAATCCCTAGGAATCTATGGAATCCCTAGGAATCTCTGGAATCCCTAGGAATCTTTGGAATCCCTAGGAATCTAAGGAATCACTGGGAATCTCTGGAAGCACTGGGAATCTCTGGAATCCCTAGGAATCTCTGGAACCCCCAGGAATCTCTGGAATCCCTAGGAATCCCTGGAATCCCTCGGAATCTCTGGAATCCCTAGGAATCTCTGGAATCCCTGAGAATCTTTGGAATCCCGAGGAATCTCTGGAATCCCTAGGAATCTATGGAATCCCTAAGAATCTTTGGAATCCCTAGGAATCTCTGGAATCCCTGAGAATCTTTGGAATCCCGAGGAATCTCTGGAATCCCTAGGAATCTCTGGAATCCCCAGGAATCTATGGAATCCGTAGGAATCTCTGGACTCCCTAGGAATCTCTGGAATCCCTAGGAATCTCTGGAGTCACTGGGAATCTCTGGAAGCACTGGGAATCTCTGGAATCCCTAGGAATCTCTGGAATCCCTAGGAATCTCTGGAATCCCCCGGAATCTCTGGAATCCCTCGGAGTCTCTGGAATCCCTTGCACTATCCCTAAGCCTAATACGATTCTCCCTAATGACAGGTACTCTGGGGCCGTTTAGGAATCTTTGGAATCCCTACGAATCTCTGGAGTTCCCTACGAATCGCTGGAATCCCTAGGAATCTCCTTGAACCCCTAGGAAATCTTTGAATCCCTAGGAATCTCTGGAATCCGCTTGTAAGTTTGCTGCGATGGTGGAATCTCTGGCATCCGAGGAAGCTTCTGGAAATCCCTAAGGATCTGTGGAACCCAAAGTGAATCTCTGAACCCAGAGGGATCCTCTGGAATCCGAAGAAATCTCCTGGGATCCCAAGGCAGGGGAAGGTGGGGGGGTGCGGGGGGGCAAGGAATCTTTGGAATCCCTAGGGATCTCTGGAATCAATAGGAATCCTTGGAATCCATAGGAATCTCTGGAATCCCTAGGAATCTCAGGAATCCCTAGGAATCTCTAGGATCCCTTGGAATCTCTGGAATCCCCAGGAATCTCTAAAACCCCCAGGGAATCTCTGGAATCCCTAGGAATATATTGAATCCCTAGGAATCCCTGGAATCCATCGGAATCTCTGGAATCCCTAGGAATCGATGGAATCCATAGGAATATCTGGAATCCCTAGGGTTCTCGGGAATCCATAGGAATCTCTGGAATCCCTAGGAATCTCTGGAAGCCCTAGGAATCTGTTGAATCCCTAGGAATCTTTCGAATCCCTCGGAATCTATTGAATCCCTAGGAACCTCTGGAATCCCTAGGAATCTCTGGAATCCCAGAGCTGCGGGGGAGTCTTTGGAATTCCTAGGGATCCTAAAGTTTAACAGAAATTAATAGAATTCCTATGAATTTTAAATATTCTTAGACATTCTCAGAATTCCTAGGCATCCTAGAGATTCCTAGGAATTCCTAGGAATGCTCGAGATTCCTACGAATTCCTAGAACTCCTAGAGATTCCTAGGAATTCATATGATTCCTAGGAATTCCAAGAGATTCATAGGAAGTCTTAGAATTCCTGGGGATCATTCGTCCTCGTTGTCCTCCTCCTCGTCCACCTCCGCCACCTCCTTTTTCTCCTTCTCGTCCTCGCCCTTGCCTCATCGTCCTCCTTTTCTTTTTCATGTTCCTCCTCTTC